ATTTCTGACAATAGATCCTCCTATTTTAACAGTATGAATACTTTTAGGGTAGCTGTGGTGCAGAGGCAGAGCGGGTCGTCCCCTAATCGGAAGGTTGACGGTTCGATCCCAGCTGTGCATTGGTGTGTGAATGTATATGAATGCATTTGCTTTTGTTCGATGGACATTGCCATGTAATGTAAAAGTGCTTTGAGTGTTCGGAAGACTAGAAAGGCGCTATACAAGTACAGGTCCATTTACCATTTAGTTTTGTTCATCTTTTTTTTTATTTTATCTGTACATTTGTTTAGATTTTTTGTGTTTTATTTTACTTCATCATAAAAGTATAGGCAACTCTTCTCTTCATTATGCATATATTAAATTGTTAGACTTACACCAAAAGATCATAATGATTTCTCAATGACTTGTACGTTCTCATCTAAAATCATATCAAAATCCTTTCATTTTAAATCTAAGAAAGCAAACCATTTGTATTTATGTATTATTATTACTATGTACGGTCAAGACCTGCTCTGTTTGAAAAGTGCCCTGAGATAACTTTTGTTATGAATTGGCGCTATACAAATAAATTTAATTTAATTGAAAAAGAACAAGAATGTGATTTTGTTGAGAGCATGAACAAAGCTGGGCCTTTTATTACTCTTATTACTTTTATACATCATCATATAACTGCTTTTGTTGCACCACAGAGCAAACGCATCTCACTTGGTTGTGTAATGGTGGTACAGCACCATCTGCTGCTGGTTTCTAAAAAAACATCATTACAGGTGGAATCAAGTAGAAAAAGGGCTACAAGAAAGGAAAATAGGTTAAATATGACATTTATATGCAATCTTGATCAACAGATAACTTAATGAGATGACTTGCAATTTTTATTTAACAATATACAGACCAATCAAACCACAAATGAGATATTACATTCTACCTCAAACTAACTCAAACTTACCATTCCCAGCCTTACCCAACATGGAAAAAAAAGGTTTTAACCTGATATTGAGTGGCTTGTGTAGAAAACCATTGCCAAGGAGAGAAGCATGTATCTCATAAAATAATTACTCTCTTATAGAAGAAATATACATGCTCCTGTTGAGGACCTATTTTTCTGTCCAGTAAAATTTGTGTTCAATTTTAAATTGAATAAGCACCCCCTCAGGTCTTGACATTGTATAGAAGTTGCTGCAAATGACTCAAAAACCCAACTTTTATTTCTTCATGACTGGCGATCTAGACACATTATATAATTACTACACAGACTCCAAAGCTGTGAAACCTAGAGCCTTATGTAATGAATTTAATTTGTACATATATGTTTTATTTCCTTAGTTTTTATTATTATTATTTGTTCATATGTCTGTCCCCTTTTGCATTTTACCTGCTTAACCAGTAGAGGGCAGCAAAGGCTCAACCCTATTAAGAATCTGTCATGGCATCATGATACTGAGCATGACAGTCGGCCATCTTAGACACACATGTTTTGAATAACCAACATCAAGTGAGGCACACAAAGTGTAATTTAAAGCGCATTCAATAAATACTAATTTCTAATATTGGTATTTGTATAGCAGAATGTGTTTGTCAACTTCAAGTCAAGACCTCTGTACTGTAAATCTCACAGCAGCCCTGGCTCATAATTATCATAAACTGCGTGCCAGTTTCTTTTAGCAACCGGCAGATTTTCCTCTGTCACACACACACACACACACACACACACACACACACGCTCATGCACAAACACAAGCAGAATTAATCTGGATTTGGTGGGTGGAAGATTGTCGCTCTTGATGGAGAGCCAACCTCATGACATTACATAAAGCTTTTTTTCTCGTCTCTCTTCATTAGAGGTTAATCTTTACACACACCAACTGTCAGCTCATCATATGGCCTGGATGTGTCAAAATCACATACCATCGATCTTTAAAGCAGCGTTGCAGTTTGCTAACTCATTATCACAGACTATGCGATGTGGTTAAAGTTGATCATTTTAAAAGTTTGATAGATAAAATGAGCTTTGTGTGTAAAGTTAT